CCAAGTGGCCCCCACACATAACAACTGAAGCTTCTTCCAGCCACAGTTCTGGGTCATTTTCACTGTAGCCCAAGGCTCAAGTTGATTCCTTTACACTGGGGACTGAGTATCATAGGTTTTTCCAGAAAGCAGAGCAATTATTCAAATAATGCACAGAGTAGTCTGCCTTGCTCTACATATGTGAATCAAATCACATGGAGGCTACTTCGGGGCAGGAGGCAGTGAGGATGGCTGTGGGTGGAGCTAGCACTGGACTTGCTTCCTCACAGTGTAACCTGTGGATGAGCACAAGAGCCCAGGGGCCCTGAGAAACCAGGACCATGGATGTCTCCCAGAGCACTGTCAAGACCAACGCTCTGGGGCCCTCGTGTCGATATCCAGGCCCCATGATTTCTGCATCACTTTTAGAGGTCAGACACACATTTCTAAATAGATCTGCCCCCTTTTTAAAGATTAAGTCCTATTTTCACAATAAAAGTACTTCCTCTCTCTACCCTCTTCCAAAAATTCTGTACACAGGATGAGTAAAATAAAATATTCAGGAGAATTGCCCATGCAGAAATAGCCCAAAATGTGTTCCTGGAGTCCAAATGTACCACACGTATGGTCAGATGAGTTTGTGGTATGCAGAGCCACCTGCCCTCATGGAGGATTTCTCGCCTCTGCACCTGCGGCCTACAGGACCCCCACAGGTAACTGAGAGGAGCTGCAGGAGGACCAGTGTGCCCTACAACACAGCTCAGAGAAATACTTGTCTAGGCTTTTCAGAGGATCCTAGAGCAAAATCATTTACAGCTTTTCTCAGATGAAGGGAGTGTGAAAGGAGAAGTCATCCATCACCTTGGGCCAAGGTTACACAGCTAAAAGACAACTGGGGACCAAGGACACAAGAACACAGGCTCCTAGCATCTATTCCGGGACTCCAGGGCTCCTTCTCCAGGACGGTCTCTTTCATAAATCACAAAGGCAAGGATCCAGTGAGCGCCCACTCTACAATGGGGATAACACTCTAAGGATTAGGGGTAGCTAGCTGGTAGAGCCCTTTCCTAGCAAGTATAAGGCTCTGTGTTTTGGATACAACACCATAAAATAAAACAAAACAGGGGTAACTCTAGAAACTGTCTGCTGAGCTGTAGGGCCTCCTGCGTGTCGACACCATGCTAGGTGCTCTGGACACGTGTGGCCTGGCCTGCTCAGACCATGCTGGCCTCGGTATCTTGCCCCATCTTACAGATGAAGGAAAGGCGCTTGGAGAGGTTCCCTTGCTGTTCAGTCTGTTCAGTAAAGAAAGGCAAAACCAAAGTTCAGAGCCACGTCCACCTGGCTTCCCTTACAAGGAGCAGCACATCGTCCCAGCTTGTCCTTTCACTCGCTCCCAGGGATAAAAATGACATCACTGCAAACAGGAAACCAAGGTTCAGTGAGATTGAGTGTGACCCGGAGGGGGAGACAGGCAGCTGGGTGCATCTCTGCACGGCCACCTCCCAGGCCCACATCTGGATCACCACTCCATTGGAGCAGCCTGACCTCTTCTCTCCAACTTGCAGCAGCCGCTGTCCGTGGGTCGCTGGGAGGCTTGAGCCTCAGGGGCCTTGAACTCAGGGCTCAGACCTTTCCTGGTTGTGCTTATACCATGCTGGACTCTGCTTTCCAGCACACTGGAGGAAAAGCCCAAGGAGACAGCGGCCTGAGCTCCTCAGATGTCAGCACTGCCACCCTGCCCCCGCGGCTGGGAAGATGACTTGTCCAATTAAGGACGGAGCCCGGGAGCACCAGCACTTAGGGCCCAGACGAGCCCAGGAGAAAGGTTGGCCCCAGCTTGGTCTGCACCTGGTTTCTCCTTCTGCAGTGGAGAAGACCAGTGAAGCAGAGACCCGCACCCCCAGAGGTCCCCTCTCTGGCTTCCCCTTCCCAGAGCTTGAAGAGGCAATTACTTGATTTGCTGTACTGTGCGTTTCCTGTGAAGGACTGTTGAGCCCTTTGTGGAGGAGGACAGGCTGCCGTGTCCTGCCAGGCTATTTTAGGGAGCTGTGGTTCTTTACTCTTCAGGTCATCAGCTGTCAGACAGCTGTGTCCTCCTTCTGGTCACTTCTGCTAATTAAAGTCCAACACAGCTAAGGGACTCATAGGAAGGGGAAGGCACCAAGAAGTTGGGGAAATGCATCAGGCCACGGGAGCCCCTGATCAGCCTCGCCTGGGCTGCGCAGTGGGACCAAGACCCCACATCCACACCCTGGAGGGACGCTGTCCCTCTCCTCCAGACCTTTGTCGCCCCATGGTGGCACATGTGAGAAATGCAACCAACACACATTCAATTTACATTCATTTAGAGTAGGATTTCCAGATGGAGTTCTGTGGGCATTATCAAGAAAAAAATAAATAAATTTCAGTTAAAAGCCATTGAGGTAGGCAAAATCTAGCAGGTTCCTTTCCGCAGAGTTTGTCAGAGACTTTGTGCAATTTGATCTCAAGTGTCCCCAGCTGCTCTGACCCTCCAGAGCCCTGGGGAAGCCCTTCCTCGGGAACACCTCAGGGCGACCCCTTGCTCAGCAGGGCTCCCGTCAGAACATGGTGCCTACCACGCACAGCCAAGCATTCACAGGCCGGCTTGGCAGCCTAAGAGGTCGTCCCCACTTGGCAAAACTGTGAAAAGGAGAAAATAAAGCAATGTGGACTCTGGAATCAGATGGGAATAAACATGCATGACCCAGAGCCTGGTGGGGTTTTCATGGGCTTTGTAAAATAAACCAAAGAGAGTTATTTGTGATGGTTCAAAGGCACAGCCACAAGTCAGCGCCGTTGCTTACCCTGTGTTAGAAATAACCTATGTCCTCACCACTGGACGCGCAGACGAGAAGGATGCAGTGTAGAACTTCAGACCAAGACGTGGCTTTTAGAAGACGCGAGGAGCCTGCACACACTGCTTCTTAAGCACTTTTCTGTCGTGAAGAAACATTGCTAAGAAGAATGATGCCATCCAATTTGAATGACACTAGTATTAAAATGTTCTGTGAATAAAAAATATTATTTTACTGGACAAAACAAGCTCAATTTACAGTTCAGAGGTTAATGCAGGGCTTGCCTGGAAGCAGAAAACAATTGACAGAACAGGAATGAGCGTGTGGCCCGCCACGTGTTGTAAACACGGTTTTACTTGAACACAGCTGTGCCCATTTGTCTACATACTGCGTCTTCACGCCACAGTGGAGCGTCAGGTTCGCTGCATTGAGGAATTACGGTACTCCAGGTGTCAAGTTTTAATTGCATGGCCTTTTCCAGAGATGCTCGCTGGCCTCTGCCGTGGGTTTGTAGGAAAGCCTAACGATTAGCTGACCAAGCCCTTCACTCTGTGGATGGCGCGCTAAGGCGCCAGGGAACTGCCTAGGTCTATTTGTGTTGAGTTCTGCACCTCCGACCCACAGTCCTCAGGCACAGGGCAGATGAGGGCAGAGATGATTCCAGACTCCGGCACCCGCTGCTGGGACGTGGAGAGCGGCAGGCTGCGCGCGGCGATCTCCGGGAGAAGCGACCTGAGACCGACTCCCCTCCGGTGGGCCTGGAGCGGGTGGTGCCGGGCTGGGGGCTGCGCGGAGGCGCCCGGCGCTTCTTCTGTCTCCTGGTCCTGTCGCTGCCCCTCTCCTCATACACATGATGGTCAAAATATACACCGGATGTTTAAACTTAAAACTGAATTGCTGTAAAAGACACTTCGCCACTAATTCCCCTCACAAATGCTCCCATTTTTGAGCGTCATCCTTGCCGTTTTCTGAAGCAGTACTAGAAGTCTGCCACGCGTGTCTCCATGGATGCTATTTTTGTTGCTTTTTGATGTTTGTTTTGGACTGGAAAATCTGTTTTATTGATTTTTTTAATTTCTCTTTTAAAAAAAAGTTTATCATTAACTTTTTACAGGTATTTTATCCAGTGCAATTTTTTTCTATGTTTTTAGTACAGGGTCTATAGGGTCTCACTACACAGGAAGGACTCATGATCGGTCCTGTTTTTCAGCTTCCCAAGCGCTGGGATTACAGGTGTGCACCACCACGCCCAGTCTCAATCCCTGTCTCAGTGCGCCCCGGTGGCGGCCGTGGATCGAACCCCTGCCCCTGCATCTGCCTAAGCAGGCGCTTTACAGGTCAAGCATTAAAAAGCCCAACTGCTGAGAACTGCAGCGCCGGAACAAGCTCATGCCCTAAATTTACCTCATTCAGGAATAAGTGAAAAAGGTCTCTTGCCACAAATATGCTGCTGTGTTTGTTTTCTCTTCCTATCTTTGAATAATTCCACTTTAACTTTGACCTTTTTCTCTCTACAATTCTGGAGTCCTAGAAACTCATGCGGAGGTTACTTCTTTCACGCTTTCCTTTTTATACCTCTCCCGCGGGGTCCACTATTCGTGCTGCTCTGGTTGCCCCAGTCCCGCATCAGTTCAAAGCATTTACCTTTCTCGGCTGTTGGGCAGTTGAGCGAGAGGCAGGTGTCAGGAGCCCCGCGCCCTCCGCAGCGGCGCTCGGCGGTGCTTTCATACGCGGTGCGGACACACTGGAAAGCGGGCTTCCAGGGCGGCGTCAAGAAGCGGCGAGGACGACGGAGGAGCGTGCTCCACGCGGGCGCAGAGTTTTCGGGAGGCCGGCGAGGCATCGCGCAGCTTCTGAGCGTCCCCAGCTTCCACGTGCGCCTCGCGTCGGGTTTGCTTGCTGCAGCGCACTGTAGTCCTCGGCCCAAGTGGCCGCGCCCGGCTGGTCAGCAGCACTGCGGCCGAGCAGTTCCAGAGCGGCGGACGATGCCTCCCGGGGTCATGCAAGACCTCTCTGCATCGTGTTCCTCCTCAGAGAGCTTAACTTGGGGCTTCGCTCCAGCTGGATGTGTCCCTTACGGGAATCACCTTTTACTGTAAATGTGTCCGTGGGTCTCAAGGCGGGGGCTATAAAGTAAAAAGTCAGGAGTTTACTGACCTTTGTGGCCCAGACTGAAGTCTCCATGTGTGTGCTTTTGTGCAGCTGGACAACCCGGATGAGCAGGCGGCCCAGATCAGGCGGGAGCTGGACGGACGTCTCCAAATGGCAGACCAAATAGCCAGGGTAAGGAGGGGTTGGGCGCGCCCTGGGAGCTGAAGTCCACCCGAGAAAGCACACTGATTAGCAGAGCCTTGGAAGGGCAGCGATGAGAGACAGGGGCCAGGCCGGGACGGCGTCACACCGGGCCTCGCCCTCCTGCTCCAGCTGGTCCACGCTAAGTACTGCCTGCATCTGCCCCCAAGCCCCAGTGAACCCACAAGCTCAGGCCCAAGCCCCGAGTTGCAGGCCCGTGCTTCCCACCACCCACCGAACACCTGCAAGCAGACGGTTCCTTGGCATTTTGGGTTGCATGTGCTCACACTCTGGCTCTTCAGCGCCTTCACCCACCCCCGCTTACTACTTATGCCCCTGTGTTTTCCACTGCTGGTATCTGCATCCAGTTTCTTCGGGCAGAGCCTCCTGGGCATGTCAGCTGCTGCTGCCGCCTCCCAGCGCTCCAGCCCCATTAAGCTGCCGCCTACTTGAGGGTGGGCATCTCTGGGCTGCTTCTCTGCCTGCTCCTATTCCCACCCAGGCCCCACCTTCCTTACCTAGGAGACAAGGGGCTCCCACCTGGTATCCCTGATCCTGTGCCACCATGCTGCACCCCACTGCCTTCCTAGAGCCCACATGCGAACGTCTTAAACCCAAGCTCGGAACCGTTCGTGCCTCTCTCGGTGGCCCCAGAACACAGCCTCACCTTTGGACTCACGTTCAGGCTCCTGTGTGAATGCGCTCCCTCCACATCTCCCAGCTGAGAGCCTGGAGGCCTGTCCTCCTCCCCACTGTGGTACCCACACGGTGCTCTCACCACTTTCATTGTAACAGACTATTACTGGGCGGAGCTCAGCGGGCACCTCTGTGGACGGCCCGGGGCTGGGGTTCTTTCTCACCGTGATGACCCAAGCCAAGTGTTACTGACCACTGGCTCTTTACCTTGTGATTCCTTCTCCCAATGCTAGCAGTGGTCACGGTGACCCGAGCCTGTGTGGGACACGGGTGCTTTAGGTGCCTTCTAAGTCAGTTCCTGAAACAGCAACCCAAGGATATCTGTGTCTCCATTCTTGTGTTAGAGACGGAAAATGCCAGCTCAGTGTGACAGACACTAGAACGGAGGCCAGGCCGGACCCTTGGCTCGGGCCTGCCTGAACACCAGAGCCAGTGCTCACTCAGGCCAAGCACAGAGACGCACTCATGGGTGAAGAACAGAAAAAGAGCCCAGAAACCCCATCACCAAATAAGTCATACTTTAGGGGAATGCTTGTCTGTCAGAATTAGTGCCCAAACAAAGGATAAATAAAATATCAAAGTTTAAGAAGCCCCCAGCTCCTCTGGGTTAGCCCTGTAGCCAGTCTGTATGCGTGAGAGGGCGGGGCCCCCGGAAGAGGTAGAGAGACACAGGCAGTGACTCCTGGGGGAGGCCATAGAGCGGGGCCCATGGAGGCTACCCTAATGCAGGGAAAGCCCAGGAGAGGTTCCCAGAGGAAGGGAAATGCCTCTACTTCTGCCTAGGCACCTTTTGCTGAGATGGCTCACATCTGGGTTCCGGACACCCTTCAGGTCTGTAGCCAAGTGAGGCTCGCGGCAAAAAATAGCACAGGGTTAGATTTGGCTAACCGTTGAGTCAAAGGCTCTTATGCTTTAAAACCCTGCTTAACATGGAGCAAACCTCCATAGGGCTTTAGCATTTAATTCCTCTGTAAACTCAGCATTTTCCACTGGCGGATTGTCCAGAAGACGTGGGTCCTCTGGCCTGCCCCATTGTATTTGCAGCAACTCTCCACCCTCAGCTAGTACATACTCACCCCTTATGGATAAAATTATGCATGTTTGAAAAACAAATTCATGACAGGTTTTATTTTAATTTTCCTTTTCACTCTGAGGATTAATGTGCTAACTTATGATACTACTATTAGACTAGTTTTCATCTTTAGAAGATCAGAAATGAACGCTTCGTGTGCAGTGATCCACGGCATTCCCTTCCAAACAGATCCAAAACCCCTCTGCCCTAAGGATTCCAATGCTAAGCAGGATGTTACGACTTAGGATCTGACCCTTTGGGATTATGAAATAAGCAACTAAAATGAATCTTGGTTTTTATTTAGCAAATACTTCCAAAATGAATGAAGAGTCCCCAAACATTTAAGGTGTGGAGAATTTCTGTGAGGTGGTCTTCCAGCTTTTATGTCCTACTTTTCTAGAAAAAAAAAGGGATGAGAGAGAGACAGAGACAGAGACTGGGGGTTGAACCAAGGACCTTTCCACTGTGCTACCTCCCTAGCCCTGATTTACCTTTCATTTTGAGGCACAGTTTAAATCCATAAAGTACCCAGGTTGGACTTGAACTTGTGATCTTCCTGCTTCAGCCTCCCAGAGGCTGAGCTTACAAGAGTGCACCACCACAGCCAGCATTTCTCTCAGAACTGATTCTCTTCCCTGATGTTTTTATGCCATTGACCGCCTTTGCCACCGTGAGCTGTTCTGGGGTTAGTTCTTCACCCACGGAGGAGAGCGCAGTTCCCAGGCTGCCCTGCATGGCTGGCCCATTCATAAGTAGACGCACTCTGCAGGGTAAGCCGAGCAGGGAATGCTTTCCCAGCGCCTGTGCACTGCAGCCCGACAGACTGTGATCTGGGGCTGGGGAGATGTCCACAGCCATGCCAGGATGCAGGGCCTGAAAGGGGAAAATGTGGCAGAGGCGCAGCAGGGGCAGAGCCGCCCTCGGGGTGTGTAGAAGCCTCTTCTCAGCTATTCTTAACTTTGAGCTCTGTGGCTGCTTTGTCCACAATTTAGTTGGATTCTGAGAAAACTAAATTCTCCCTTCGTCTACACCAGTCAGGCTAATACTGGGAAAATCTGAGAAATGTCTCATCTACTAAAACCTAGTTGAAACATCAAGATTGCACACACTGACTAGTTCATGGAGAGATGCCGACTCAAGGCCCCGCCCCTCTCCTCCTTCAGGCTGCCCTGATTTTCTATTTCCAGTATCCCAGTGAATTCTAGGGAGGATGTGCAGTTCAATCCATATGGCTGAATGTCAGCTCCCATACATACCAAAGCAGACATTCCTGGATATGGATGTCACCCGTCATGTGTAATTCTCTCTCTGCCTTAGAAGATGGGTAAAGCACTTGAGACTGCAGGTGAGAGACAGCCACAGAGGCCACTTATGGTAAGAGCGGGGAGGGCTTCAGGCCTTGAGAAGCCCATGGGCAAAGGATGGCCCGGTCCAGAGAGGACAGGAAGCAGGGCCAGAGGGGTCAGGGCTTTCCATGCACCTCCCTTCTCTCTGGGTCACATCCATTCTCTCCTCTACAGAGCAGCTTCCTATGCAGCTCAGCTGGGAAGCGTGGCTGCCCCACGGTGCTGCCTGAGTCTGGTCTGTATGGGTAGGAGCCGGTCAGCCCCTTTCTGAAATCTTTCTTCTTTCCCTTTTCCACTTTTTCAATCTCACAATTCCAAGAACTGGACCTTGATTGTCCTAACTTGGTTCAAGGGCTAGGCCAACCTGGGTGCAATCGACCAATGCACTGCAGAGAAGGGGCGAGCGTCTCCTTGGGCACCCAGATCCTGGAGTTGGGTCGCAGTGGTACCCAAGGGACAGGGCTCTAGGCGCAGCACCATTACCAACATAGGGTGTCCCAGAGGTACCTGATACATGCAAGTGGTCACCCGCGGGTCATCCATATTGACTGCAAAATGCTGGGACGGCCACTGCTCCGGTGCTACAACGCACTCGACCATTATGAAGTTCTCGTGCAGCTCCCCTTTGCCTCATCGCTAGTCCCAAAGTCCAGCCTCCACTTGGCTCAGGTGTTGCTGTGGGTGTCCTGACCTCTTTGTCCACTGCTCAGCCCTTGTGAAGCATCCCAGGTACGAGGAAATGTGGGCATTGCTGTGGGGACTCAGTAGCTACCCGCCCCCCACTGAGTTACAGTGATACACTGAGTTCCTTTCAATTAAGAAGCAGCAAACTGATGCTCCAGTACTAAGTTGCAGGCTATTTCTTTCGAGTAATCAGATGACAGACAAGAAGTTACTCCAGGACAAGACTGTTTGCCAGTCCTCTTCCCTGATGATTGACTGTCCAGGAGACAGCTTTCCCTTCCCCACCGAGAGCTTCCATAGACTCCCTTTAGTTTATCTAGAAGGCCAATAAGGCAGGCAGTGGAAGCAGAAGGGACTTCTGGAATTCCGAGTGCACCTGACCGTGAGGTTTATAGAATGTGGACAAGAGACTGTAAAGACGCTGGGTTGTTTCCAAGAGCGTTGTTAGCATTCTACACTTCTAGAGAAAGCCGAGTTCTCCGCCCTCCTAGAGGGCAGGGGCAGGTCCACCGTCCTCCACCCACAACCTGTCACTGCCCTCCACCTGCTCCTCACGCCAGCATCGCACAGAGCCGCAGCCAGAGACGGCAAGCCGCAGCACATCAGACAGAGGCGACCTCACTGTGAACAGGGTCACGCTGCCTTAGAAGTCCCAGGAAGAGATCTGAGTACATATTTTTTTAAATCTGGTCAAAAATACTTTAATACTGTTTAATCCCCGTTTGAAACATTTTCCTAAATCCTCTCATGTTGACATTAAAGTGTCCCCAAATTTCACCTAGGAATTAAGTCTAACTTATTTAAATTGCATGATGAGAAGTTGACACCGCAGCTTACATAGGCAGATTGGGGCATTAGTGCTGCATATTTGCCAGTTCTTTTGGCCACATTTTGGGGTAAATTTCCAAAATTCTCAATCTAATTGTATAGTACAGGTAAGACAGCTTTTGTGGCATCCATAACAGACGTCAAATTTTTCAAGCTATCACTGAATGTGGAATTGCTCCTCAGAACCCTACAGGGCAAAATTGCCTCTCATACCCTGGATCTATTGCAAACACCAGCAGAAATGATGCCTAATGCTCTCCTCAGAGAAAATCCTGTTGCACACTGGACCAAGTCAGAGGGAAATGGACGCCTCTCCCACCAGCAAGGAATGCCAACCCCAGCCTATAATCTACTACCGCAACCCC